TATTTGGACTTTATAAAAGTATCCACTTTAGAGAAGTGTCCACTATATAGAGATTGTGCCTTTTCTGAGTAAAAAGCTTTTATACACCGTGTGAATGTTTCTCGCGCCTTGAAGAATGCTGTCGTATAAAATAGGAAGCTGAGTACAGTGTGGTTATTGAGAAATACCTTGGTGACATACAGTTATATCTCGGTTGTGAAAACCCAGATCGAACATTCCGGCACGGAAACGGCCGGTTCTGTGGTATTCTAAAGATTTCATGGAAGCAGTATTCCCGTCGAATGGATCCGGTGATCGGATCCACCTGATCCCGCCCGGAACTGAGCCCAGGTCCTGGACCCAGGATCGAATTCCTGTCATTTTCGGGCAGGGTTCATACCGGGAATGGTGAGTTTTTCGAGGGTTTTCGCCGGAAACTCGTGGAAATGCTGCTTCAGGAAACATCGACCTGGGAATTCTTAGACTGTCCACATACATCCATCTTATGTAAACACGGATGGATCAAATATCACTTTATAAACACAAAAATTGAGTAGCTATCTAACGGTTCGATCAGTCGTGCTCATTTTTTTCACCATGAGTGGAGCCATGTTTATGTTCTAAATTCAACCAGTCGAGGTTAGCAAGAACCGTTGCCGAGTACCATTACAGATCTTGAAAAATAACTTTAGTATGTCACAGGTACGAGGGATACCTGTTATGCTCCACAAAAGTTCTTATCAATCTTGATCGGCTGCATTTAGAATATGGACAAGACCCTACGTTCGGTGGATAAAATAGGCATGTTCGATCACACCGTTACATAGTTATTCAATTTTTTTCTCGATGAAATGACTTTTAAACCACCGTGTATGTAATAGTGTCCGCTATAAAGAGGTTTATTTCTAGCAAAACTTCACAAGTAGGACTTTCAAAAATGTTCACTATGAGAAGGTGCCCATTATAAAGACGGTCCACTATGTAGAGGTTTATTTGCAGCAAAAACTGCTCCGTCGGAATTGGAAGCGTCCGCTATAAGGAGATCTCCACGATGGGAGGTTCTACTGTAGCTTTACTTAGTTTCATTTGTGATTAGAGAGGGCGACAGCTTTTTTAGGTATCAAAACTCAGCATCGATATAAAAGGCCACACTTGACCTAGCCTACGATTCTCCTTCAGTGCTGATGTCCAGATCCTGATAACCGTACTCCACACGCGAATCCATAGATTCGTGTATTATCATACGTTGGTCATCTTGACTGATTGGAAGATTGTAGTTAAACATTTTCTGTGAGAGGGCAAGATAATTATAGAAATGTGTCTGAGTTACAAGAAACTAATTTAAGTTATGTCGTTGTGTTGCTCTTTTTATCAGAGTCATTTTTCATAGTAGATTATAGTCCTTTTGTCAAAAACCAAAAAGCGGTTCGTATATGGACCACCGCCCGTCAAAAGGTTAAATACTTCCTTATGGCCTGAATCGGGACAGGGAAAGAATGTGAATGTTATTTTTTTGAATTCATATACCACTCTTATATCCTTCAGAAAAAATAGACCGCATATCCTTTATAAGAAGACTGGTCATAACTCGGACTCGTCCAGCTCTGCTTATGATTTACATGTTTGTTTGTATTATCAAAAGATTTATTTTATCATTATTTTTCTTAAGAATGTTTTGACATTACATTCGTTTGCCGATATCCTGAAAAGTATTTATAGAGAAAAAAAAATATTTCCCGATTTACAATTTGATATAACAAATGGTACATGTTATACTCATTTGAAATGTGATCGTGGACCACAACCTTTATGTCTTGATTGGCGTGAAGTATGCGATGGTAAAATCGATTGTTTAAATGGTAGTCAAGATGAAACGGAAATTCTCTGTTCAGAATTTGAAAAAACAGAATGTTCAGCTGATCAATATCGATGTCGTAATGGGATGCAGTGTATTCCAGGTGATTTTTATCGTGATGCTATGTTTAGCCCGGATTGTTTGGATCGAACAGATGAGATCATTTTTCGCATGCCATCAAACTATCCATTACAGTGTCAAGGTGATGTGGCATTTCGGTGTGAAGAAACAATGTGCACACATCCAAATGAAGAAGTTTGTGGTTATGGTGTTTGTTCCGATATATGTTCAGAGAACACTCCTGGAATTCGACGGACTCAAGCACTTGTGTCGCGCGAAGCGAACATGCATTTACAAGATAATTGTTGGCATGCGATCATTTGTCTATTGGAAATCGAATTTCTCGTTAAGGTATGATATTTTTCAAAAACTTTGAAAAATATTTTCTTCCTTATTAGTACTTTGTAGAGAAAATCGCATAATTTCAGTTTTTGTTAGAGAAATCTGAGCAGTATCATATACCCAATCGTACATTGTATATTTTTCTCGGGAGTTTTTTGGCAGGTTAATAGACAAAGTCTTTGCTAAAACAAACTCTCGTGAAAGATCTTTATAGTGAATTCATATTTTCAAGGTTTTATTCGAATCACAACTTAACGATATATGTAGATTGTATATAACTTAATAGCGATCGATGTCATTATCAATATTTGCGTATATTTTTCTGACAAACTTCATTCAAATTTCATTGCTTTATAATAGTGATAATTTTTTTTGTACTCTATTATTTTTTAGTTTCCTCAGCGAAAATCGTCCTCACCCTTAAGAATTTTGATAAATCTTCACTGTAAAATCACTAAATCGAATATTTTCATAGTTTAATATTATACTATAATCTAAATGATTTTTTTAGGATCAAGATTGCGAGTGTAGGAATGAAGTATGCGTACTTTTACTTGAACAGCATTGCCTATATGACACATTGCCATTTCCATTATTACCAATCGCTTATGGTCACGTCCGACTTGTGTATTCACTTTCTATCCGTCAAATTTTGAAAGAATGTACTTCTGTTGCATGTCGAAGACGTCTCAAGACCCCTGATTATATATGTTACAGGTTAGATCTTTGTCCGTTGCTTACTGATTCGCTTATAGCTTTGGGTAAGGATCTTCTAAATGATTCGACGTTACAATGTTATCGCACTGATGACATATTTGATATTTTTATGACGCACAATGCGAATACATGGTTAGCATTAGTTAAACTAACAACTCAACTCGTTGCTACTTGTTTAACTCACGTCAGTGAGAATGCTAGTAAAGATGATGAATTCTCATTATCGACTAATTCATCTCATTCAACTTTATATCGTTGTATTGGAATGAACAAATATATTTCAAAAAATCGTCTTTTGGATGGCACGTACGATTGCTATTTTCGGGATGATGAAGATAAAAATAACCATAAAGAAATTTGTTCATACAAATACCGTTACAAATGTGCTGGCATGAATGACATATGTATTTCGTCTATCAATATCCTCGATGGTAAATCAGATTGTCCGTTGGATGATGACGAAAAGCAAATACGTCCTATTCATTTTACACTTTTATGTGATGGTTTTGTTAGTAGAGAAGCTGCTCCAGACGATCCCGAAAAAGAAACAGATGAGTCAAATTGTGAAGAATGGTCATGTAATAATCAATACACACGATGCGACGGTCAATGGCAGTGTGATAATGGAGAAGATGAAACAAATTGTCCTGGCTCACCATGTAGTCCCAATCATCATTTATGTATATCGATAAACACTTTTGAATTGATCTGTTTGCCCTTAGCGTTAACTAATAACGGCATCATTGATTGCTTTGGCGCCTCAGACGAAAGATCGTTTTGTCGAGAAGAATATCCTTCATTAATGCCACTACATCGATACCGTTGTAATGATAAGTGAGTCTAGTTTTAATTTGAAATATTCGAATTGTTTTCATATCTTTTTCATTTTTCATAGCCAAACAACAAAGTGTATTGTAGTGTCCACAGTATGTAATGGAGCACGTGATTGTCCAAGATCGTTCCAAGACGATGAAAACCCGAAGATCTGCGGGAGTGCTACACACAATAAAACTAATGAATCCGTATTTAATCCAAAGCTGTGTCCTATGATTTTTGAGAAAACGAACATATCAGTAAACAGCTACCAATTTTTATGTGATCTTCATGACCTGGCTATATGTACGTATCATACAAAAAGATTTTTCTCAAATGAAATTATATCGTAATAGTAAGGTTTATCCAACATATAGAAATATAGAAGAAACAAACACAATGTAAAGAAAGGATAAAAAAGTGCAGCTACTACAAAATATATATTCAATAAAATCATATAGCGTATATCATCGTTTAGTGTCAAAGAATTAAGATATCGATGAAAAAGACATTAAGATTCATTGATTCCTTAATCGTTATAGAGATTTGATTTAGAACGAGGATAGATGAGCAAAATGTGTGAATCTCGTTGTCATCCGCAATCTGTATTGTGGAGTATCGTAGGTTTTTCGAATAACTATTCATTATATAAAAGCTACTACGACACCATACAGTATATCTATTATTCATTTTATTGCAGATAGCGCTAATTCTATGCCAGAAGACAGACCATATTTTTCACTACGATCACGATTGTTGTTACCGGTCTATGTGCAAAGTAGAACTGTGATGTTTGAGTCGCAACTGGAGAGAACAACGGCAACAGAATATAATGTCGATCTTCGTCGTGCCCATATCTGCAATCGTGGTATTCTTATCTATGAACATACTGAAGAACGATGCCTCTGTCCGCCTGCATATTATGGATTGCGTTGTGAATTTCAAAATCAACGTGTTAGTATTACATTTCAAATTCGTACAGCTTTATGGCATACACATTTTCAATTTGTGATCATGCTTATTGATAATGATGAACACGAAATTGAATCATATGAACAAATATCTTATTTGGGCATTCGTGATTGCAATTTTAAATATAATCTCAATCTTTTATATACCTCTCGACCAAAACATATTAACAAGTCATATTCTGTTCGTATAGATGCATTCGATGCCCTATCAACATCGGTGATCTATCATGGAAGTTGGCTATTTCCAATAACACATTTTTTCTTACCTGTTTATCGACTCGCTTTTCAACTCTCCGTACGAGTTGTATACGCAAATCCACTAAAAACTGACCATACCAATTGTTCTTGTGGATCTCATGGACAATGCTTTGCATATATGAATACTGGAGAATATTTTTGTCGATGTATTCATCATGGTTGGCGAGGCAAAACCTGCCAAATTCCAACGGAAATTACGCCCAATTATTGTTTGCCAGATTCTGTCTCGATTGGATCGTCTATATGTGTATGTCCGCTAGGAAAATTCGGCTCTCGGTGTTTGATAAGTTTTGCTTCGATTTGTAGTTCCTCGAATCCATGTGCACATGGTGGCACATGTATTCCTGTTAATCCTCGTATGACATTGGCATACTCATCATTGTTTACATGTGCGTGCAATGAAGGTTTTTCTGGTAAGACATGTGAGCAAATTGATGCACAGTTGGATATACATTTTCCTCATGGTATGAGTGATATTCCATCATCGGTTTTAATTCATTTCATCACTGTTATAGATAATAACGATCCAGAACGTACAACGACGGTCAAACGCATCCCGTTTGGACAGAACTCAATCCGGGTGTATCGATCATTCCCGTTTCATCTCGTTTTTGTTGAAATAATGAAAACAAATCATCAACAGAAGTCTTTCTATTTGGTTCTTACACAACAAATCTATATTCCAGCTGCTAATATCTCAACATCTGAATTTCATCGATGTTTACCTATTAATGAGTTATTCAATTCAACGATTCTTTCCTATTCTCTGTTGAGACGTGTTAAATATTACCATAAAGCATGTCAAAAACATCTCGATTTAACTTGTTTTTATGATGATGAACAATTTATGTGTCTATGCACAGAAGATCACAACGCTAATTGTTTTCCATTTGATTTTAATATGTCATACACGTGTCAAGGTTATGATTACTGTGAAAATAATGGTGAATGCTTTCAAAATCATCCGACATGTCCAACATCAGCAGTCTGTTCATGTCCAGAATGCTATTATGGAAGTCGATGCCAGTTTTATACATATGGTTTTGGTATTTCACTCGATACTATCTTAGGTTATCACATATGGCCACGAGTTACATTGTCTGAACAACCAGCAGCATTCAAACTAAGCATTATCATCAGTGTTTTTATATGTGTACTTGGTCTCATAAACGGCGCTCTTACTGCAGCCACATTTTATTCAGAAACATCAGATGATACCGGCTGTCGAGTTTATCTATATACAGGAGCAATTAATTCACTTTTTATCACTTTTCTATTTGCTCTCAAATTCATTTTTCTTGTTATAACTCAATTGAATATTCTTACGTCGTATATTGTACTTACAATACAATGTCTTTCAATTGATTTCGTTATAAAAATTTTACTTGCTGCTAATGATTGGTTTGCTTCTTGTGTAGCTATTGAACGAGTATTTACTATTATACACGGTATTCAATTTAACAATATAAAGAGCAAACGAATTGCTAAATATATGACTTTCAGTGTTTATCTCTTTACATGTACTTCTTATCTTCATGAATCAATTTATCGAAGTTTAGTTGATGACGTTGGTGATCAACGAACATGGTGTATTGTTCGTTATCCTCGACCAGCTATTCAAGATTTTGCTTCATCAGTGAATATTTTCCATCTCATCGTACCATTTTCAATTAATATTCTATCAGCAATTCTTATTATTTTATGCATGACTCGAATACGTTTTCATGTTAAAAAACAACAAATAGTTCGACGTCAAGTTCTATATCAACAATTCATCAAATATAAACATTTATTTATCTCATCAATTCTTCTCGTGATTCTTAAACTACCAGGTCTTCTAATTTCAGTTTTATCCGGATGTATGAAATCACAGTCACGAGATATACCATGGCTCTTTTTATCAGGCTATTTCATGTCATTTGTACCTTCGTTATTAACTTTCATTACTTTCGTTATACCATCAGTTACATATATGTCATCATTTCAAAAAGTTTTGCAAAAAGTGCGCCGTACGACGTTATACAAGAAATGGCATTGTATGTAAGAGCCAGTCATATAAGACACGTCCGACTACATAGAAACCTGTTCAACCGAGGTCGTCCCATCTTGAGAGTGCGGGCGTAGCTGCACATCAATAAGTGAAAACAGACTGACCTATCTCTTGAAGAAGAAACAAGTTTAATCTGCTAGTCTCAGCTTTTACTTTTCAGCAATCGACTTGGTTGAAAACACTGTTCAATAAAGTCGTGTTTGATGTGCTTTTCAACGTAAGAATAAATGTAGAGTTAATTTCGCCGATGCGTTTCGTGTCTTTGATAAGATAGTACGCTTCAGAGCTTGATGTGTGTACGTGTATCTCTTGAGAGTGGGTGAGAGCGGGTGAGTATGCGGCAGAAAGAAAAGGCATTCGCATTACACCCAAACCCACCCACCCTCAAGATGTGACACTACCGTATACATCCTGAGGGTGTGGGTGTGGGTATATATCTTCTTTCAACCCACACACATATTCATAATTAGACCCAGCTCACACACTAATCGTACTTTTGTCAAAAGACATTTTGATCAGATGATTCTACTTCAATATCTGAACAAAACAACTCAGTTTAGATTAAACATACTCAAGTTTATGAATTCAGACTGTATTAATGCTAATAATTTTTTAAGAAAAGATTTCAATGATTCAATTCTAATCGCCATTCTTCACATGATATTTTACATTATAAGAAATATCACAGTAGAATGACACACAGTTTTTATAGTCATATTCACACTTTTGAGAGTAGATCAGAATTCGTATTTATTTATATTGACTTCTATTTGATTTATGAACATTTTCTTTGCATACGACGATTTTGTTAGACTAAATTGTAATCAAACGAAATGAACTTTTTTCAAGAATGTTATTGATATGAATCAATGCGACTGTTAGTAATTTGTATGCATGTAACATATCAGTAGGTAAGTTCAACTATTAGCTTTATTTTTTGACTTTGCATCAATAGACATATTAAGACAGAATTTGTCATTTGAGAACACTCCTTACTTATACGAGTTGGAATACCATCTGGCTCAATTCTGTTAGAACAATGACTTTTCAACTAAAACAGTCAAAATATGTTTGAGTGTAATAATGAAATGAAAATTTTAGTACATATACACGTACATGTACTTTGAGTTTATTTCTGCTTGTATATATTAAAGATTCAACTACAAGATAAACAATAAGCACATACAACATAAAAGTCGTTGACTTCTATTTTGTATCAAGGAGTGGCAAATATCAAACTGCTACCAATTTTCAAAATTCATATGTCAAAATTTTCAAAATTTTCATAAGTTCAAATTTTCAAAATTTTCAAAACTTTCAAAATTTTCATAAGTTCAAATTTTCATAATTTTCAAATTTTTTTTAAGTAGCAGTTATGATATATATTGAGTTGATATCATCGTACTCAGTACCCTCTATAACCCAGTTGAAAACAAATGTCCAATAAACCATTAAAACTACCACATACATTTATATTGACCAGATAGGCAGATATCAGATATTTACTATCATCGATCTGCAAGCAGATCATGCAAATAGATATTAGGTATCTATAATCGTTTATCTACAAATTTATCGGATAAATAGATATCAGATATTTACTATGATTCATCTACAAACTACTACAAGTATATATCAACTATCTATTATTATTTTCATTTTCTTCATTAGATTTCAAGAATAACAAGAAGTTTCAAAGAAAAAATTAATAAGAGTTTCTTATATAGTGCTTTTATAATGAAATTAAGGCTTACTAAAAAGAATATGAAATAAAGGAAAGAAAAGAAATATAATAACTAATGTTTAAAAAATAAGTATACACTTAACAAGTTTCTATACTGATTGTTCAAATGAACTAATACCAGTTATTGTACAGTTTTTAAGATGAAACAAAATTGTAAAAAATATCGTTGATTTTGGATAACTGTATCCTCTGAACGAGTTTTTGAATTTAGAAAAATAAGAAAAACCTTGTTCGGCAACTTGTGTATTAATTGAATTGTATATACCATTGTGACATTCGTGATCAGGTCTCATTATTGTTTTACACATTGCTCTTGTATGATTTTTAACATGAAATCGATCGATTGCCATAGGTAACGATGAGAGAAATTCAGTAAAATTTGTCGACTGCAAATTGTCTGAACCAAAGTGTTTATTAACAAAGAGCTTCAAAGTACATGCACAGTCATAACACATTGCTGAAGGTAATAGACCGAGCCGCTTTATAGTTAATATGTGATGGAGAACTCGACGCACTATTATTATTTTAAGATATTTCCATGAGATCTCAACCACGATGTACAAAAGGTTTCTCAGATTTTCAGGAAACTTTCAAGGTTGACAGAGCTTTTAATTCTAATCTCTTTGATAAAAAATTTATCAAATTCATTTCATCTTTATGGAGAAAACTTCTGTATATCATGGTTAAGATCTCATGGAAATATCCTTCAAGAATTATGCTGTTGTTGAAAGATATAGATAAAAGCTTTATACTCACTTCCCTCAGAACATGCTTGTTCGGTGAATCCAACAATAACTGAACAATTCAAAAAAGTTGCCAAAAATCCATATGAACTTATCTTTGAGCTAATATTAATGCCAGATCTGAACACATTACACAATTCATCATTAAAGTGTCCATCTTTATCTATGTATTTGATTAATGCTGATCTATCTAAAGTTGTTTCTTTATTCTCATCAATCATCTGATGCCTTGTAGTTGATGGTATTCTTGGTGGCTGGTGATTTTGACAGAATCTGTGATCAATATTAGAAGCTATATAAACATAGTGAAATTAGAACAAGAGATTATAAAGGAAGATTTTAAAATGCAAAAGTTATTGTTAAATTCTGAATAAATATATAATGCGTCCTTCTAATCACTATGGTCTAAAAAAGATAGCAAGAATTAGTGTCATTGATATTGTATCCATTAGCTATAAAAAAATCTCGAAAATGTAGTTAGTATATAAAAAACATGAGCGCGTATGTAAGAAAGAAAAAGCGATATCGTTCAACACAACAAAGATAGAATAAGAATAGGTACGTGAAATGATAGAAAGCAGAATCTATGTATAAGCGGAGGCAAAACTTTCCTGTTCTATCGTGAAACTATAAACGAATAGATAATAGAGGATAAAATAAATATTAAACGAGATGTACATCAAACAAAAAATGAATAAAAAACTGATGGGCATACTATTCTCTACTACCACTTAAATCAAGCTATATGTGTTTAGACTTTGTCATTTTTACTGGTAAACTATCGTTTATCTCAATTTCTCATACTAGTGACTTTTTCTCGCAAGATATTTTGTAAAAGTTTCCTCCGAAATGTATCACCATTTATCAGAAAATTCGGATCAATAATATAGATAAAAAGCTTACCTTTTCTGAGAGGAGAGTATAAACATCCGACTTGAACCGGTCCAAGTTCAGGTATAGTATTATCAACTACATTTTTGTATTGACATATAAGTCGATTAGCTTTTTGATGACCATCCACAATAAATACCTTGGAGCATGTACTCAGATCACATCTTCTTGTAAACCTTTCATGTCTTGTCCAAAAACTAACAAATTTTTCATAAAGATCAGATTTAACCATTAAGAAATAATTGTTGCATTCATCAATATCACGTACAGACATTGGTACAGAGATAGTTTTTTCATTTGTTGTCATAAAAACGAATTTTACAATATTGACTATTAACCATGTCATTTGAAAATTTTTTTCATTAAGAAGTGTGCTAACAAGTAGTAAGTGTATAAATTTTAGTCATATTCAAGATTAAAATAGTCTTACATATTACAATCAATATTTGGCACGGGTAAAGGTAATTGATTTTGTCTTTCTAAAATTATTTTAATTTTTGAGTTATATGCATTCGTATATCCTTCGAATGATACAGTATTGTGGATTAGTTGATAGTCAAAATCAATTAGTAGATTTTGTTCGAAAACTTGATTTCCATTTAAATAAATGTATTGATCATTTTTCACTGATTCAGTTGTGAAAAATTTCTTATTGTTGTGGACGTAAAAATTAGGAAATATCTGGATGCTACAATCTTGACAACTGCAAGTGCTGATAACTATTAACGAGAATATAGATGTATTTGCTTATTAAAATTGATGAAAACACCACATACGTGCTCTGAAAGTTCTTGTAAGCGACATTACAGTTTTTGAACGATGAGAAAAGGTAGCTTTCAACTGCTTTTTACATTGGATACACTCAGTTGTATATGGTTTCAAATATAATTCATTGATACCTTCAGATTCAGCAACCTGATTTATTTGATATTTTTGTATCATTTCATCTAATGAATGTTGCTGGAATATTTCATTGTATACTGGATGTGTAGAAATGAATTCAATCAACATTTTAATAGTATGAATTTCATATGATTTATTAAAGTATATATTAATTATATTCATAATATGATTGAATTTGTTAGGTAATTCCTTTGGTAAAAAGTTATTCAACATCATAACATATATTATCTGATCCAAGCGCATCGTTCGCATCATCAAAATAAAAGCATGTTCTTCATCAGTAATTTCTACCAATACCTTTGGAGATAAAAGACGATTAATTTGACTCATTTAATTGATAAATATTAATAAATAATGAAAAAATATATAATGAACTTTCCTTTTTAAATACTGCCTGATCACTATAATTCTTTTCTTTTTTCTTTTAATGATCTACAAAAGAATTTAAGTATGTATATGAGGAATAAACAAATAAAAAGATTTAGTAAAAATAAATGTGTTCAAGAAGATAAAATATCAGCTATTAAATTATAAGTTTCATGAAATAATGCTAAAAGAAGAAATCCTGAATTATTCAGTTTTTCTTCGCTCTTCTTGGTTGTATGCGCCTTGGATTTTCTTGAAAGTTTATATCGGATGCGATTTTTCTTTTGCCACCTGTTAACAATGGACAAGTATAGACCACATCCCCTTCTTCACTATTTTCATCAATTATTTGCTGTTGAGACATCTCTTGTTGATTTTCATTTGATGTTATTTCTTGAACATTGTTCGAATGAGAAACTGGTGTCACTGATGTTTGTAATTGATTTTCTACATCTAAGTCATTGGTTATCATATCATTTGGTCGAAAACGTTGAATATTATATCGAATGTGTTCTTTATAAAATAAACTTGATTCAAATATTTGGATTACTTTATCTGATAATCTCCAATTATTTTGTGTATATATATTTTCTTCTTGATGTGGATAAAATGATTTTAAGAAATCACTATAACTAAGATTTACCTGAAAAAATTAGATTTGTATTACTTAAAAATACTTTCGAACTAGTAAAACAAGACTATTTACATGTTTTTGCAAAGATTGTATAAAATCAAATTTTGATACATTTGAATTCGAAGCTGGACAATTTCTACAGAAAAAAAACAATAAAAAATCAAAGCTATTGTATCAATAGTTCATACTTTAACCATCCTGGACGAAGTATAGGTTTAGAATCTTTTTTAGGTTGCTTATTTGTACGAGTTGGTTCGACCCACAAGTCATTTTCATATATTAGAAGATTAGCTTTTATCAAACGATTTATAGCTTCCAGTTTGATATTTGGTTTATTACATATCATAGTTAAATCTGTTTTGGTGTAGATCACTGACTTTCCAATCATTATATTGTGCATTACTTTTTTAACTGCTTGTTCAGATAATATTATATGTTTATCAGTGGCTAAGTTAATCAAAGAGAAAATGGCTTATGGAAAAAAAAAATTAAAAATATACTTTCTGCCATGATTTCATGTGTTGATATATCATGATATTCATTTTGATCATCAACTGTTTTCTCACCTGTTATTGCAAATGAATTATGAATATGTTCTGATGAATTATCTTCTTCATTCGTGAAGATTTTTATTAACAGTGAAAGGTAAATGAAAAGCATTATTAATTAAAAATATTTTACCTATTATATCGTCATCTGGTATGGTACAGGATATTTTTATTGGACTAGCATACAGTGCATCTTGACTTTTTTCAACTGTATTACAAGAAACATTGACTATAGATGTTGTTGTATGTCTAATTTGTACCACTGATTTATTTACTTGACTTATTACATTCAGAGGTTGACGTTTACTATTAATTTGATTTGATTGAGTATCTACAACTAAATTTTCAATACTATGGAATTGATGAGTAAATACATTAGCATTTTTTATGATAAAACTTCCTTGTTCAACTTCTTGAATAACAGAATTTGTGATATGCTTTTGAATTATATTATTTAGTTGAGAATGATACTTTGAATATTCATTTACCAAACATGCGCTGTATTCAAAGAATTCTAATGCTTTATTGGAAAGATTATTATTTGGTGGTATGGAAGACGACTTGTAAATAGAACAATACTCATTAACATCAATATCATTTTTCATTAAATTTTTAATAAAAAGATCTCGTGTTGGATCATCATGTGATGGAACTGGTACTTTCATGTATGATTTAACATTTCGACCACGAATATCAATTAAGAAATAATTAAACTTAAGTAAACCATCAATCATCAGTTCTTGGAGTGCACGCTCACCTAATGCTGGCCTATTTTTTATAATACCTCTAGATGAAAAAGAGCATACAAATTAATCAATCAATCGATCAAATAGAAAATTTAGTTATATACGTTCTCTCTGTAACAGGATGTTTTACACTTATTGTTGATAATGGAAAAATGTTAAAATCTAAGTACATTATTAACTGCTTTAATGTTTTCTGTTTGGATGAGATAGATAGTGGTGTACTTATTGATTTACTTGCAAAATCATGATCAATTGTAAATAACTTTCTAGATATATCCAAGTGGTGTTCGTACCAAGTCCATGCTGCAAATATAGCTTCTTTCTCAACCAATATCATAGGATCTATTACTTCTTGGTTGACTTCTGCATGTGGTAAGTATGTTTTGTCATATTTATAATATTTACTTTTTATTATAACATCCACCTTCCTTATAAAATCCTCACTGATGATTGACTCTGGATTATCTCCTTCAGAAAACACAACAAGATCTTTCACACGCTCAAGTATTTCCATAGCATTGATATATAATTGCATCAAACATGCTAATCTAGGAAAGGTTGTATTGGTTTTTCCATAAAAATCTGAAATTTGTTGTTGCTGATTTGGTATCTGATCTTGTGTTTCAACCAAATCAGCAATTAAGTTCCATAATATAAACATGGCTGAACGGGGTTGTTGTGTTTGTTCATCATCAACATGTACTATTGATGATTTATCAAATGATGCTACAAATTAATTAAAAACCAGAAAATCTCAAATCTACTATAAAATTTTAACTTAAATACCACCGCAAAACTTTGTACGTTCAGCTTCTGACATTTGAAAAATGAACCGTACAGTACCAAATAGATGAATGATCAGAGACAGGTGAGCAAATGTTGGATTATTTTTAGAATTCATATTAACCTGAAAACTGCAAATTATAAATTTATATTAGGGTATATATGCTTATCTAATGATATTTTACTCTTGCGGTCTTGAATGAACTAGTCTGGGAATGCTCATATATATGAATCGATTATGGGAACCATCAAATCCTGTCAGATTGATCCAGTTTTTAATATTTTTTGATAATTTACCACCGGTAGCAGCAATTGCAATTGACAATCTTTTATCGTCAATTTCTATAATTGTTGTACCTGTGGTTCTTGATGAATTACACCTAATAAATAGTAATATATGATCGATATTTTTCTATCTTTATTATTATATTTTACCCGTCATATCCGCAAAGAATAATATTGCGTTCGTGCTCTTTTGTATAATCGTTTACATTATACAATCCATATGACTCAGCAATTAAATCTGCATCATCATTTAATAATATTTTGTTGTTAGATGCAAGGTGTTGTCTTAAGCCTATATGGTTAGTGTGACTAACGATAGACGACAGATCTGACTCTGATGGTCTACCATTTACAATAACAGGTTTCATGTATCTAGTTGGGAACATTTTTTCTATTTTTTTTATAGCTTTTTCAAGCTGCTTGAACGCATGTGTCTTTCCACTGCCTTAAGTATCAAAAAAGAAAGTATGATAAAAAAAATTGATAGAAAAAACATGAAGTAATAAACAATATATCATACACAATATTTATATGGTAGATTCACCTATACAACTCAATATTTTTAATTATATGCGAAACTTTTATTCCATGATATATTCAACTATACAACTCAATATTTTTAATTGTATGCGAAACTTTTATTCCATGAAATGCCTACATATTACAAAGATTAATCAATATTTATTTTCTTTTTATAGTTTAACATTTGTATAACAATACAAATAAACAAAAAATGATTCTCTTCGTCAAAATTCTCTGCAATATTACGGTAAGATAAATAATTATTTATCAATCTTATTCAGTTTTTACATTTTCGATTATATTTTTTCATCATAATCTTGAATTATGAATGAAACGATACAGTATTAAAAAATATACAGAAACTTATATGCATGTATATCTTTTTTTTCTGGATGTCTTACAGAAAGCCAATACGAGAGACATATATATATATGTATACCTTTTTTTTCTTTTCCTTTCTTTGATTTTTCTCTATTTATAAATTACTTCCATTGATTTTATTCAATCGTTTTCTTTTCAATACTTCTTCACTCTTCGACAATGCATTACAAATATTTTGGAAAAATATCCACCGAATTCTCGATCTATCAAATCAATTGATTTGTATCTATTGTACTTTATTATTTTTAAAACTATAACAACCTAACTACAAAGCAGTAAATTTGCAATATACCAATATGTTTTCTTACTCCAGCCTAATTATACACTTGATGATGTCGCAAAAGAAAAAAAAGCCACATAAAAAATATTGTGGTAGAAAAAAATGCAATCTCATTATAGAATACTTGAACATACCACTAGCACCTAGTAACCATAAGTACAACTGTACTGGACGATGGTCAGGACTGGCATAATGAGTGTAATAAGAATCTTGAGCAAAATGTGACATGATGGCTAACGATAGAAAAAAAGAAAGATAAGGTTCGTAGTTATATATATTCTTGTACGTCGTCAACAATCGCATTTGTTCCAAATTTAAAAGACTGGACATTTCAATATTCATTTTGGATGCTTCTGCTATATTTTTTAAAGTCATTTCAGATATTGTTTTATCATCCATCACACCTGAACGTTTTGACATTTTCGAGAACGAAATTAAAATACTTAGTGATATCTGAAATCTCATAAAAAAAATTTAACTTCAAAAATTAAATTTTGATAAACTGTTCAATTTCTTCGGTGTTATTAATCTATGATTTTGTTCTATACAACAAGCAAATTTCGATCTAATAGACGAAGGTGATAGAATCTTTTTACTTAACTGATACATTGAATACATGATTGCTAATCCATTTAATGGTAATAACTTTTAACTGAAAAATGTGGTGCTTATTATCAATTCAATAGTGCTTTATATAGTGAAGAAAACGAATACTACATATCGAATATTCAACAATTAACAATGAATGATATCATACAAGTAATGAATACAATGAAGGATATCTAACAACAGATAAAAGAGATCGTGATTTGATATCTCCGATCACTTGATATACATATGCTATTAGTTATTTCTTTTTCTTGTTAGTTTTAGTTGCCCTCGATCAGCTGATATATATATGTTATAATTGTTTCTTTTTCTTGTTAGTTTAAGTTGCCCTCGATCAGCTGATATACATATGTTAAAACTATTTCTTTTTTTCTTTCTAGCTTTTGTATGTTCTCGATATGACATAACAGTGAATACACATATATATGTATACATATATACGTGTTAAACGCACATTTTTATTTATATTAATTTAATGAATATTTTCAAATTTTACACTGAAAAGTA